TGAGTCAGCATCTTTACCGCTCCACTTGCGTCTCGCTAGATTCAAGACGGTGTCAGATTGAAGAACCATAGATGTGCAAGAAGTGAGTGCTATGTTAGGTCGTGCCCGTGACCCAAGTTGACCAAATTCCATTTCCAATTTCTATTTCCATTTTGCGTAAGCCTACGCCGAAAAAGTCGAATAGACTCAGAGGCTGCGATTTCAGTTACTGATTCAATTCAATACCTATCGCTGCACCCTTACAACCAGGCAGGCAGCCAAAAAAATGTTTAGAATCCAGTCGGTTGTGTCTCATTTCTCACGAAATCCATCAAATTATGGAAATGATATGACACCTCCAAACAGAAAAGCACTTACGCCTTGGGATACTTTAAAAATTCTGCGAGAAGCCTCAAACTCAACGAGCTCTGCGGCTAAAACCGATCAAATTTTGGGAGTTAACCCCAGCAAAAGAGATTAAAATTACAAAAAAAAAACCAACACTCACTGATGTTTTTCTGCTCGAAATCATATGACATGGAACACGGAAGGGTGCGAACGCTTTAACTTGGATGGAACAGATGGTTTTAATTATTACTTTCATGACTTAAGAAAGTAAGAACCTCATTTGACCCGTCACCATAGTCGTCTCTTATTATGGCACATTTGAAATCCAGTTTTTTTCGTGTAAAATGAAATCCATTGGCTACAAAGAGCTACTCCAATAGTCATTTCTCTGTTTTTCCCACATCTTTGGAATTACATTGTCTTGGAGCAATTCAATGCCCCAGTCCATACTGCTAGATCTATACTCTTAAGATCTATATATAATAGAGAACGTATGGGGATGACTTTCACGCTAAAAAGTCGTCTTTGTGGCGGCATGTCAAGAAGTTGAAATTGAGTCGCAGAAGAACCCGTCGAATAAGTACTGAATTCTCGAGACAACTACTGGCTCTTGGCAGTGGCCCAATTACCGTTGATGTTTCGACTGGATTGATATCGTTCCGGGCATATTTTTGCGATTTCACATCGTCAAAGGAGAAACGAATCACTAAAGAGTTCCCCGCATTGCACAAAATTGTACAAATCTTGATTGGATTGGATTGGATGAGTGGACGGGATATACCAGTAGGGAAAAACAAGGACGTCGATAGCTTGAATTTCATTATTCAAAGTCAAATCGCTGGAGAACTGCATTTATATTTTTGAACTCGCTAGATGTGCCAGATAAAATACTGCTGAAAGTGGGATCGACCATAATCATGTCGAGGAATCTGAATCATCCAAAACCGTGCAGCGGTTGCCCGCCAACAAACTGATGATCAATGCGATTCAAGCGACGATCGTCAAGCGAAAATTCAAGGGAGAGGTAGTCCTAATCCCACGAATTCCGGTTGTTCCAACTGGTCTACCATTCCAATTCAAGAGAAATCAGTTCCCCGTTCGACTGACCGTTGCGATGACAATCCATAAACCGAAAGGCCAATCTTTGGATGTCTGTGGGATTATTCTCGAATTTCCCTGTTTTTCGCACTGTCAGCTGTGTTCGCTGCCTGTTCGCGTGGTGGCAAACCGTATTCGTTGTTTGTTTTTGAGTCGGAAATCAAATCAAAAAACATTGTTTACAATATCGCTCTCAACAGATTTCGATTCCATTTAAATAAATCATGTCGAAATTTGAGCTGTTTGTGTTATATGAAGGCATTAAATTGGGGCGAGACAACGTTCGCCGGGTCCGAAAGCAATGTGCATATGTATAAGCATAATAAAAGACAAGAAAATATGAAGCTGCCACAAGAAATACTTGATGCAGGGGCTAAGGGACATATTTTGTTTTCCATTGCAAAGCAGAAAATTTGAAATTTTGGAGTGTCTAAAAATATGCAAAATGTTTATTCCATGAATATAAAACAATATTACAAGAGAGATGTGGGGTCTTAAAAAGATACAAAATAATGAATGGCAGGGCGCTGGACACCTATTCTATTCTGACAACTTCCCTCTGCTGCGGGCAGTCAATGACATTATACACCGTCAGTTCTGCATTTAAGAATATTTCAGGCTACATGTAGCCAGCATTTTTAAAGTGTAAATGCTTAGATAAAAAAACATCCCTTCTAGATTTTATCGCTGCATAAAAGTTGTGGAATTTAGTTTTTTTGTGCCCTTCGTGATATGAACTTTGCTCATACGTACAAGAACTTTGTTCCGAGGCTTACTGTGTGGAAAATGTGAAATGTCGAAAATCATTTATAACCAGCAAAAAACACGAAGGACCATGGTTGTTGGTTTGTGGCTTATTCCAAAACATACTAAAAATTCATAGTCATTCAAAGTCCATAGCCTATTTTTTGTTCAAAGTTACCTTTCGTATAATTGTTTCATTGCTCTGTGCACCGCCATCACAGGGACCGCTCTCTGCTGATGTGGGTCTCTCGTTCACTCAACAGTTGTCTGCCCAGCCACTAACAGAAGCTGCGCTAACAGAGCGCTGTTACGCTTACATGAATTAATGATATGCCCACAGAGGCAATGTACATACCTACATACATATGTATGTACATATGGGCTGGTTTCAGAACGAGCAAAAACAGTACCAAACGTTGTGAGTCGCGGCGTATCCCGCACAACTAATACCCTGTACTCTGTGTGTGTGTAATACACACTGTGTATGAGCACTTGTGATCTTTTTAGTTTAGCCATTATATGCTAATAATGGATAACGATAAAGAAAGATTTGACGATAAAAAGAGCAGACAAAGAAAGAAAATAATTTAAACAATGTATTTTATATTCAATTGGCTGTACGATGGCATAGGAAATGAGGAAGAAACCAAATCAAACCTTTCATATATGTTTAATTATGCATTACTTGTGTGTGCAATACCTTTTGGTTTGAAGACACGGAAGCACGCCATATTTCGTTCCCGCCATTTTCAGTTGATTTTCTCCCGTTTTCCCTGTTGACGAACTGCCACCAGACCGATCTCAGCCGTACGGATGTCCGTTCTTCCCCAGTCATATTCGAAAGCAGTCTTCTCAATCCTTCTCTGTTTCTGTACCCTGGATGCTTACTCCGTTTCTCAGTCGTAGCACCGAATGAAGTCACTTGGAAACATTGATTGTGTGATTGGATATTTCCCAAAAATGCTCCAATTCTTGTGTTTCGCAACGTAGAAATGAAAGCAATGCCGCAGGTGGCAGAGTCAGTATGGCCATTTCACTTTTCCATTAAGGCAGCAATCCTTTCGTTTCTGCCGCAAACTGGAATGCTATGCTCACAAACAACGTCCATTAGATTAATGGACGAACAAAAGGATGCGACATTTCTTCTGCTCTACTGTTTGATGCCTTACTGAATTACGACCTTGTCCGGAAAGACATGGGACAGCCATGGGATATTGCTTGATCTTAAGTTCTGTGATATGTCATTTGGTTCATATTAACCACCGAACTCCCAAATGTAAACCGATCAAGCCATAACTCTTAAGCCATAACTTTTGATAGTTCAAGATTTTTTAGTATTTAAACTTTTTTGCATAAAAATCATATCTGGTATATATGTACATATGTATCTCTTCCAGCACGTTCTGATCCACCTGCTTCTCCTGCTCTCTAGCTCCTCCTTCTTCTCTCTCCACAAGCCGATCACGCGACTTCTCTTGTTTTTATTCATTTTTATTGTAGTATAGTTGATATTTATTATAATAGTTATAGTCGATAGTTATAACAATAGTTATAGGGTATAGTAATAGTAAGTTCTGTGAAAATTCATTATGTTCTCATTAACAAACCGACGCTTAAGAATCATTTGGAATATTCTGAAACCCGTTTCCATCCATCGAAAACGTCCTTGTTATATTGTCGATTTTTACACCTGATGCAAAATATTAGATTTGTGGTGATAGTGGATGTGTGTAACACCCCGAAGAAAGCATTTCCGACCCCATAAAATGTCTCAGAGACTAGAACAGCTAGTGCAACCGAATTTTGTATTCAGTCTCCTGTGATATTGCTGTGCATTGTTGGTAAATATCAATATTAAAAAAGCGAACAGGAACGTTGTGAGCCGCGGCAAGGGACGCGGCTCTACTTTTACACCTGCCACTTAGTCAGTAGCATTTCTCTCATGTCTTTTGGTATCCCTGTTCCCTGTTCGCAAAAGCGATTTCTCTCAATTTTACTCAAACTCGTAATGGAAGATGGAGGAGGAGAGGAACCACAGCCGCGTTTTATGTTGTAAGGTTACGAGTAATTCTGGCACCCCATTTATCCCCTTTACACGATCCTCCAACGATCTATCTGATCAGAACTAAAGAATATTTGATCTGTTTCCATTTTTCGTTACATATTTTCTCACATCGATGGATAGCCATGTTTGGACATCTTTAAAAGTTTATAACACTATCACACCCCCGCCACACGGAGATCGTACCACGTGGGTGAATGGAGAGGGAGGGGAGAAGAGTACTCATGCATAATTCATGGAGCAAAAATCATTGAAGTAAAATTAATTTATGGCAGGCTCCAGCATGTTGCAGGCTCCGCCAGCGAAGGCCCACCACCGGGAGCGAGACGAGAGCAGGGTTTTCGCCACGGGCATGGGGCAAGATGGGTGGCTTGGCTGTATTGTAGTTCACATTTCACTCTAATACATAATTCATGTAGTTTTTTGCATTAATGCGGAGACCGAAACCAGCCCTGGGACGCTCCCCCAGCCACTCCCTTTGGCTGGTCTTTTGGCCAAATGTCTAATGACTTAATTAGCCCGATAATGGGGGATCATTTTCCACAGCTCCATATGCCATCACCGCCTCTAACAGTTACACTATTTCCTCCGCTCCATGCGCTGTATCCACATTCGAGGGCTGTTTGTGGCCGGTCGTAAAGATGCTTCAACCGTGGCGCGCTCGCATAAATCATAATTACATTCGCTCAAGATGTGGCCCCTGTCGGCAATTAATGAGGTTTCTGTGTCATCTGCCCCCGTCTTCAGGGCGAAGCGAGAGGTCTCTTACCTTTTCACGCAGCATATCCCGTATACGTCCCGCCTGGTTTTTCGATCGATGCAGCTCCAATTGCAGCTCCAGGCAGCGCTCCTGCCAGTTGATCTGGAAAAAAAAGAAACTCTTGAATACAGTGCTGTGCCCCCGCCGAAAAACCCACGATGTCTTACCTCCGGCAGGGCCTGTCCATAGTTGTTCACCTGATGGACGTCCAGGTGCTCGGTGAGAGCGGAAAAGTGCGGCCACGGTGCATCGGGGGCATCGAGGGCGGCCAGCACGGGATTGACTGGATTCACTGGATTCACGGGCGGTTGAGGCGCCTCCGCCTGCTTCGACCCCTGCTTGGCCGGAATGGGCGGGGGCCGTGGAACGCGGCGCGGCATCAGCCGCGGGCTGTTCGGCGTGGAGGTGGTGCTGGAGAGCCGCCCCTGGACCAGCGGTATTTGACCACTAAACGAGGTGGCCCGCTTGACCAGCAACGGGGAGCCGTGCAGCGACTGGGAGCCCGACGACCGCCCCGGCAGCTGCGAGGGCAGAGACGGCGGCTGCTGGAGCAGCTGCTGGTTGAGCAGATGCTGCTGATGCTGCGGCTGGTGCTGCTGCTGCTGGTGGTGGTAGAGGTGCGAGGGAAAGGTGTGCAGGAAGCCCACGCCGCTGCCATCCTGGGGCCGCAGGAAGTAGTGGCTCTGGTGGCTCTGCGCATAGTACAGAGCATGGGCGCCAGCCGAGGGTGTGGCCCGGCCCGAGCTGGAGGCCGAGGCACTGGCAGACGGCGAGGGCGACGAGGAGGCCGAACGTCGCCGCTGGTCCGCCGTCGTTGTCGCCTGCACCTGAAGCGACTGCTGCTGCTGGAGATTCGTGAGCGTATCAAAAATTTGCGATAAACGCCCCAAAGGCACTTCGTCAGACATTGACGTTGCAGGAGAGCAAGAGAGAGAGCTGCCAGATCAAAGAGAGAAGCAGAGAGAAATGCTATACAAATGGATGTCAAGCCAATATTTTTTAGAAAAAACCCCGTTCCACTGACTAAAAAAAGTCCAAAAAAGCTTAAATTCAAACCAAAATCTGTAAATAAGGCTAGCAAAATTGTTGCCAAGTGTACTCGAGGGCCTTAAGGGTATACTGAATTTTATTGGATGGAAGAAACGTGAGATAGACGTGAGATATGTAAGAGTAAGAAGAAAGCGTTTCCGATCCCAAGCAAATCGAGGGGCGCGTTGGGAGTCGCTGATACGGCCGCGACTCTACACTTATACGCGATACTCAATAGTGTGCGAGAGAGAGACAGCGTAGCCACTGAAATTTCATTTGTTCCGTCCGGCTATAATAATGAGCCTGGAAGATATGGTCATTCCCTAGGATGCTGCATTTTTCGTTTTCTCGTATCTTCAAAATTATGGATGCCAAAGATTTTTGTCTTTTGTGGAAGCGGAAGACGGGGTCCCAGGAGCCTGGATACCAAATTTCGTTGCCCCAGCTCTTACGATCTCTGTGAACGAGGCCTCAAACCAGACGGACAGACGTACGGACGGACATGGCTCAATCGACTCGGCTGTTGATGTTGACTTTATGTCGGTCGGAACCGCTTTCTTCTGGGTGTTACGCACATCCATTTTCCGCACACCCCTGTACTCTTTTTGAGTATCGGGTGTACAAAAATCGAAGATTTCCCCTTATATTACTTTGAAAAAGCCAGATCTGACGGTAAAAAGCTGACTTTGCAACACTGAGGCCCGAGTGCTCGAAAGTCTATGGAGATACCATTGAAAAACGCTTTAGTTTTTGGTGGCTCTGCCGTTGGTTTTGTGTATTAATTCGAGCCTTAGAAGAGTAGGCGAGTATTATTTAGAAACTATAGTAATTTTGAAGTATTCAGTTCCATCCAAAAAGGCGGTGGATGATGCCGCGCCTTTCCGACGCAGCCTCCTCAGTATCGTCACCATCCGTGGACTCAGGGGCAGGCGTGGGTTGGGGTGTTTGTGCGGGCGGCACCGGGGCCACGGGCAGCACAACAGTGGAGTCACGCCGCTCGTTGGAGGTTTGCGAAGGCACCAGCGGCGTCCCCGGAAGTGTGGCGACCACAGCCGAGGCCAGCGCTATTGTATCCTCCGAGGTAGGGATCCGTGCTGGAATGGTGCTGGGAACTGCAGTGGAGGTGGATGCCGCGTCCTCGGTCGTCGTCTTCTGGGCGGCATCTTTCTCTGTCTGCTTCTGTTCGGCGTCCGTGTTCTTCTGATGCCCCTTGGAACGGGAGCTCTTGCCGCTAGTCAACCTGGGAAGCTCCATCCTCTACAAGGGAAAATAGCAAGGATTGATCTCTCACTTTTTTTCCTCAAAATTGTACTTACAACCGATTTGGATCTGGATTTGGAAAATGTGTAGGTTGTGTTTTGTTGAAAATCTCAGGCTCGACTGAGAAACTAAACGAAAACTCTAGACACAAGGCCCCAAAATACCTGAAAGGTAAGTCTTCCAGGCCTTCTACGATCGTTAAACGAAATCTAAACTGTATTTTCCATTTATTTAGAGCGATAATCGCTTTACATCAGGCTCATTTTTAGCCTTGAATTCAACCAAATTTCTATCTGCTAGTAAGTGGTGGGTTTTCCCCATAAGAAAGAGAGAAACGTTTCGGAGACGCAGCAGCTGCGAAAACCTTTTACTCTCTCGCTCCCACTCGCTCAATGAAGACGCAGTTAAGGGTGGGTTTTCATGCTTGTAACATGTGTGAGAGGGAGAGAGAGGGGGTACGACGCTCTCGCTCACACCAGGAAAGACTACCTAAGAATTGTCGTTGTCGTCCTCGTTCTTCCCGCGGAATATAATCAGCAACGAATTAGCATTCGATAATGGGCAAGTGCTTCGGTTGTGGCCACCCCCCCTGCAATCTGGATAGAAAGGATAGGTATCAAATCTGACACATGTCAAGTGTGTGCTATCACTACACAGTCGCCTCTGCTGTAAATCTACGTGAAAGTTCTGTTACACATTTCTACCAGAAAAGGTAAGTGCAATGGCTACCCCTATACACCGTACATGGTACAGTTTGCGATTCAATACCACCCGACACCAGAATGTACGTAACCTAAAATTGTTCGAGGCGCTTAAATGTCACTGCCAAATTCTGTTGTGGTCCCTCAAAGCGCGCCAAAACAAGGCTTTGTTTGCAATTTTTGGCTTAAACTGACTCCATCAAATGCCTGCAAAGTGCGTGCCAGCTATTGGCAGTGCAAACATTGTCGAGAGGTTGAAGGACAGTGTTGAAAGTGCCATCTTCTGTTGTGTTTTTTTTCTTGCTTGCAGAATGCTTTTAAGGTAAATACATCGTTTTGTATGTATGTACATATGCACCTGCAGTGGTTTCATCTAATATTTTCCCACTTTGAGGATATATTTCTCATTTTTTGGCTTACAATAACCAGTCGACAGTTTTGAGCTAAGGTCTCCGGCTTACCAAAGATGTGAATTAGAGATCTGCGTGGCTCCATTCAAAACGCAAGTCCATTGGGCTGTGGGCTTCATAGCTTCCGAATTCTGTTTTATTTGCTAGAAGGAAGAAGTGGAACGGAAGAGCCTCAAAAAGTCGAATTACCCGAATTGTTGCATGCGCACTCCATGCACTCATTCGTTGCTCGTTCTTCTCTTCCTTTCGCACAGCCACAGCAAGGCAGCAAAAATTGAGCCGGAAATCTTAGTATTTAAAATATATATCTAGCCATGTTTCGCTATGTACACTATGTACTACAAATGGTAGAAATCGATGGAAAAATGAAGAAGGAACATTATCTTTATATTTTAGAACCCATTTTGTCAAATTTTATTGACAAATCTGTCTTCCCCATATCCGAGATCACTTTCCAGCAAGACGGTAGCCCGACGCACACAGCTAAATTCGTGAAAAATCGTCCCAATAATTCGAGTTTTCGCCTAATCCAGTGGCCAGATCTAAGTCGCATTGAAAATCGATGGGCTCTGTTTAAAAAACATTGGAAAAGTAGGAGTCTGCACCAAAGGGATTGGGTGAGTCTTTCGGACCGAGTGAAGTCGGAGTGGCACATGATACCTTGCCAGCACCTACTAAATTTAGTCGAGAGTGTGCTTATTCTTATTCGGAATATGATAAAAGCTAAGGCCCTTTAGAACAAACATTCTTTGTTTTTGAACAAATTTAAATCTCTTAAGGAAAAGGATCTCTTTGAATTGAAATTATTGTCTTTTTTCATTCTCTTTAAATTAAAGAATCTAAAGAACTAAAGATTGATGAATTTTTAAAGATTTTACAGGCGTTTAAACTGAAAAATGATGAACATGTATCGACATGTGCTCGCCACTGTATGTTTGTTTTATGAAACTGTGTGCAATACTTGCACCAAAAAATATTATCCTTTTACCACAAAAACAGCTGTTATTCTTCTCCAAAGTTGATAGCACTGAGTCCTGCCCAAAAAACAGAAGAGGCAAAAAATAGCACGCATTCGAAAGAATTCGGAAACAGCGTATACGTCATCGCACTCACTCACTTCAATTCTTCCCTGAATTCGTTTCGCGCAATTCATGCGACCTATAATATAAATATATTCGTATAATAATGTAAAAATATATACAGGGGTGGTCAAAAGAATTTACACAACTAGTTTTATTTTTGCATGTTAAATTCCATAAATTAAAAAAAAAAACTTTTATTCCAAAAACATTAATCAACTAGCAAACGAATGAGAGAAGAATTGGAAAAGATAACTATTATTCGAATAAGGAGAAGCAAATGAAGTGTTGTCCATCAGTTGTCAAAAGTATTTACACAGATTTTGTATGCTGCAGAAGCATTTGCACAAAACTTAATATTTATTATGATTTAATGATTTTTTTGAAATTTTTTGGATGAATAATTTTAATAATGATTAATATTTAGTGATTCCACCTTTGGCATCAATAACTGCCTGGCCTGGCTGGAATTGATTACAATGGCGAGCATATCCAAGATCCAATTTCGACCAAATTTCCTTTACTTCCTTACTTCCTTTTCGGTTCTTATCAATTGTTCTTTGTCCTTTAATTAACGACCAAACATTTTCAATAATATTGAGATCAATATAAGAACAGTCACATTCAGATCTTGTAAAAATGTAGTTGGTGCTGATGCGTTGTGGCATGGAGCATTATCTTGCTGTAAAATCCAGTCGGTGATGGGAAATAACCTGTCACCAGACACAAAAGCATGTTCATTCAGTATAACCAGATACCGGGCCTGATTAAGTGTGCCTTCTATTGGAAAGAAGTCTCCAAATCCGTAGTACGCCATACACCCCCATAACATCACTGTGCCTCCCCCAAATCTGTTCATAGGTTGCACTGAATTTTGTTTTTTTGCTTCTCGTAGATGCATAAATCTTTTACAGAATGAGCCTTGGAACTGGAAAGCTTCTTCATCTGTCCATAAAACATTGTACCAAAACTCCTTTGGTTTTGTAATGTATTCCAATGCGAAAGAGAGGCGTTTTGCTTTATTTGGCTCGGAAATTTCTATTATTTTTCGCACTGTACACGTTCGCAAGTCGATCTAATTTAATCTCCGACGTATTGTGGCATCACTGAATTTTGGCCAATCAATTGTTGCGAGTCTGCTGACAATTTAACTGGGCTTATCGACGGATTTTTATCGACTATGCCAATTAACCGTCTACATTCCCGTTCATTCATCGCTTGTTTCCTTCCACTTCTCTTTAAATTCGGTAAATTTCCATTAGTGTCCTTTTTCTTTTCCAGATTAAACAGATAAACAGTTCTTCTACAAATTTTGTAAGCCTTGGCCAGTTCCGATGCTGAAATTCCACTTTTCAATTTTGTAACGATCTCTGATCGAGTTTCAACAGACAACTGCTTTGTCTTCACCATTTTACTTGGTTAATATTAAATTTTAAATTAAATTTACTTTTTGCAACTGCAATAAACTAAAAAACGACTGCACCAAGTCAAACCAAGTCTAAGAATAAGCTATAATTTGCATCCTATAAAAATAAGGAAACAAATATATTTTTATTCAAACTTAAAAAGATTTTAGTTAATTAGTAATTTCCGTGTTTATATCAAAGTTTAAGCTTAACAAAAGTGATGGAATCAAGCCGAAATCAATAAAACGTATATCCTCCTTTAGCTTCAATAACTTTTTGAAGTCGCCGTGGTACAGAATCCACTAAATTTTGAACAATTTCTGGAGATACATACATATCTCTTGCCAAAGAAATTATCTCCTCTCTCGTTTTGTTTAACGAAACTGTTCTTTTTCGTTTCAAAAGAGACCAGACGTTTTCAATAATATTTAAATCTGGGCTTTGAGGAGACCAGTTTAAGGTGGCAACACCAACATCCCTCAAAAATGTGGAGATCATTCGTGCTTTGTGGCATGGGGCATTATACTGTTACAGGATTAGAGACTCTCCAATCAGCCTATTACTCGTACCGGAGGGGAATGCGTGTTCATTCAGCGTGTGTAAATAATTGCCCTGGTTTGTGGCATCGAGCCGGTGATAGAAATGAAGTCTCCTAGCCCACTGTAGGCAACACATCCCCAGAACATGACAGAGCCTCCGCCATGGCTCACTTTTTGACAAACTGGCCGTTTCTTGTTTCTTTGCTCTGTGGGCATTCTTATAAAAACTTTAGTTTTTGATGAGTTATACTCAAATGAGCTTTCATCAGTCCACAGGACGCTTCTCCAGAACTCCTTTGGCTTATCCACGTACTCCTTTGCAAAGGCCAGTCTTTTTAGCTTGTTTGCCTTTGTTATAAGCGGCACGTCCTTGGACTTATGAGTGTTAAAATTCCCTTCCTTCAAACGTCGTCGGACTGTGTGTTCACTGATTGGGTTCTCTGCCGTCAAGTTGAAGAAGTCTGCAGCATTTTGAGGCTTCAAAAACACATTTTTTTTAAATTCGCGTAGAAGGACTCGATCTTCAGTTGGAGTAGTTCTACGCTTGGCGCCTCATCTGGTCAAGTTTCTTAAGCCATTATGTTTTTTTAACTTATTAATTTGATAGTGCACAGTTTGACGAGACACTTTAAATTCATTTGCAATCTCTTTTATTGCCGTTCCAGCGTTAAACTTTGCTACCATTGATGATCTAACGTCTAAACTTAACTCAGTCGTTTTTCCCATTTCCTTAAATTGCTTAAAATTGCATTCCTTTGCAACCATTAAAGTTAAATGCAAAATTTATTTGGTTGTGTAATGCCCAAAAGTGAAAAAACATGTGCACAAAGATCTCGTCAAAATAATTATGCCAAGTAAAAAATCATTGTTCGTGCAAAAGGTAAGCCACATAAAATTTGGCATGCATAGAGCTATAATTAGATTCTTTGTTTTGCTGATCTTTTTCGCCCCGTTTTTTAACGGTACTAAGCGAAGCTAGCTTCAATAGTTACCAAAAGGTTT